TTCAGAGAGTCCGGTTTTATCCCATGCCTTTTCAGTTCCAGTCCAGCTGGCCTTGGTGAGCTCCCAATAGATCAGTCCCTCTGTCTCAGTGGGTGGGTGCACCCCTCGCGGTCCTGACTTCCTTGCTTGTGTTCTCCCTCCATCTGCTCCTCATTGGGACCTTGGGAGCTTATTCTGGTGCTCCAATATGGGTCTCTGTCTCTATCTCCATCCATCACCAGATGAAGGTTCTATGGTGATATGCAAGATATTCGTCAGTATTGTTATAGGATAGGGCCATTTCAGGTTCCTTATCCTCAGCTGCCCAAGGCACTAACTGGGGACATCCCCCTGGGCACCTGGGAGCCCCTCTAGGTTCAGGTCTCTTGCCCACCCTAAGCTTAATTAAGATATATGCTTCCCTGCTCCCATATCCATCCTTCCTTTATCCCAACCATCCCAATTCCCCAAGTTCCCCCAATCCTCCCCTTCTCACATTTCTCTCCCCATCTCCCCTTACCCCTATCCCACCCCACCCCCAAGATCCCAATTTTTGCTCGGCAATCTTGTCTACTTCCCATATCCAGGAGGATAACTGTATGTTTTTCTTTCACAACATAGATTCCTAGAAGTTGAGAAGTGTATATGGAGAGAATATAGAGGGATGTCATAAAATTTTCCAAACATGATTAGTAACAAGTAAATTATCCAGTTATTTAGTAGAGTATAAGGACAATTGTTCACAAAAATTAATTTTATAAATAGAAAGGAGAGAAACTTAAAGGGTCTAAGTAAAAAAAAAATTGACAAATACATAGAAAAGTTAGCTGCTATAACTGAACTGTTCATGTATTGGCATATTTCCCTAAACAGTATAAGTGTAATTTTATATATTATTTATAATGTAAGTGTTCAGATAAAAAATACAATTTTGTCATTATACACTATATACATGCATGCTGCAAATTTGTGCAATTAATATTTTAAAAATAAAATTAATGGAAAAATAAAAAAAAAACTCACGGTTGATTCACAACAAAAACTCTGAGCAAACTTGGGGCAGATGACTGGCTCCAGCTTAAGTAGCACCATTAAGATTTGCAAGTTAATGACATACCCACCAGCTGAAGCTGTCAGACATACCTCAACTTAGGAGGTGAGGCGGTGTCTTTCTTAAGGGTGAGCCTGCCCGATACTGACACCTAGCGCACTGGAGGGGAGTTGCGAAATAGGATGATCGAGATGCAAGAGCTATGTGGAGAGCCATTCTCAATATACTGGAAGGAGCACAGGGCTTTCTAGAAATGGGAAAAGCAGGGGAGCTTTGGTGAAGGTGGTCCACGCCCAGGGCGGGACTCCCACTGTTTTGGGGACACACACACACCCCACAGCACTTTGTTGGCTTCCTCAGACTCTTCCTCCTTAGCCTCAGAGGGTCTTGGAGCTTAAGACGTCTCCAGGAGGCAGCTGTGGAAGTGAGGCAGGGAGCTCTGCCCTGGAGACCATGGTGGTTTTATACATGAGGCCCCCTCAGCTCTCAGCGGACAAGAGCTCAAAACCGAGTCCCGAGCGGGTCTCACCCACAGAGCCCAAGCGGGTGCAGAGCCTCCTCTCCGAACACAGGCAGGGAGTAGGTGAAGCCCACAGAACCCAGAAAGTGGGGTCCAGTACTCAGAGGTCGGGCGTGGTCCCGGGTGGCGGATTCTCACCACAGGATCTGGGGAGCGAGCGGATCCACCCCACAGAACCCGTAGAGTCACACTTTCGTCGCACCCCTCAAGGCATCTACGAGAACCCCAGCTCAGAGTTGACAGGCTCCATGCAATCGGCAAGGCCCAGGAGGGTCTTCTCGCCCTTCGCCACATACGTAGATCTATTGTTTGGGGGATTCAGCCGCGCTACTCGCCCAAAGGAGCAAACACCTTGCCCATAGTGTAGGTCTAGGCTTAAGCGTCGTCTCTCCGGTATAACCTGGCCCAATCCTCTATTCACCCCAAGAAGGTTATTTTTTATTTCCGACAGGCGCCGCGAACACCTCGGCTGTGACGTCATGGCAGCGCGCCGTAGACAGCCTAGGACCCCGTCGCCCTCACGTCCGTCTGGTCCTTGAGCCGGCGGGGACGGCGGAGCAATGGCCTTGAGACTGCTGAGACTTCTCCCGGCGTCTGCGACCGCGCGGGGCCTCGCGGCCGGAGCCCAGCGCGTGGTGAGCGGCGAGCGGCATGTCTTGCCTGGGTCTCGGACTGTCCTCTCCGAGCCCCGATTCCCCGGCGTTGTTGGTCAGACCCTCCAGCCGCAAGCTCCCGAGATCCCCACCCACAGCTCCGGGTGCAGCTTTGCGGCGGGACTCTCTCTCCAAGCCGCATCTGGGGAACCGGGATGCCGGGGCGCTGGAGTTTGGGCCCGCTTGCTCGTCCGTTCAGTGTTTGGCAAAGCTGCTTTGTTGAGCGCCCCGAGGACGCTGGGGTGACGTGATGTGGAGCCGTAGCAGAGACTTTTGGGGTAGATTGGGGGAGGATTAGGACTTCCTAAGATGCATGCAGAATAGTGGGTCATACTAGGCTCCGCGGGAGCCGTGGCTGGGAACAGGATACGTTTTTTGACAGCACCATAACGTCTTTGCTTCTTAGTAGCTACAACTGCAGAGGTGTTAAATTTGTGAAGGGGTTGACCTTATTTAGGATTTTTGTTTTGAGCAGAGGAGTGGTGTATGTGAGAAGTATGAATGAGCCAGAGAGAGAAATGGGGTGTGCATAAATGTGAGCCGTAATCAGCGCTGTCCGCCTATGCCCCGTTAGGACCACGCTTATCAACTAGGCATATTCCAGTGCACTTTTGCTTTGACCTTGACTCTTAGAGGCTACAATCCTTGTTCCTTCAGCATTCCCTTCAGTGATCTTGTTTCACATATGTATGTCGGAAGTTCAGTCCATCCTAAGTTTTGCATGCACTGAGTTCATTCTTCACGCCGTGAAGTCCAGTGGTTTTGCACAGTGGACAGTGACATATTGCTGCCTTTTTATAGTACCACACAAATTAGTTTACAGTCCTAAAAAAAGTCCACTGTGCTTAATGTTCATTTATTTTCCACCCCCTAAACTGACAGCCACTGCTCCTTTGATGATTTCTGTCATTTTGCCTTTTCTGGACTTTAGTCAGTCACACATTATATTGCCTGTCACACTACTATTTATGTGTACAATTACTTTTACAGTGGGGCTGGACAGATAGCTCAGCGGTTGCTCCTCTCTCTCTCTCTCTCTCTCTCTCTCTCTCTCTCTCTCTCTAAATAATAAGTCTTAAGCCAGATATCATGGTGCACACCTTTAATTCCAGCATGAAACGGGCAGGTCCACATAGTGAGACCCTTGTCTCAAAATCAAACCTCAGAAACAGCAAAAAAAAAAAAAAAAAAAAAAAAAAAAAAAAAAAAAAAAAAG